TATGTTACATGCGTCTCACATATATATAGGCAATAGTTGGTGCCACTTTATTACTCCGCAAGCCTTCATTTCTATATTGTTTGTCCAACAACACAGAAAAAGTCAAAACTCCGTAAATACATGGCTTCATCTTCTTTCTCCGGTATGCTACTTCGTATTAAAAGGACGGCCTAATCCTAATATAATTAGGGTCGTTTGATTGCAAATGTGGAAAATTGATGGAAATAAAATGTTTTACAAGGAATTGATTTGCCTAAAAATTATTTATCAGGAACTGTAATTAATCGTGTTTGATATGTATAATTTTTCTTGGAAAATGTTAAAAATTTGGTATCTGTTTAGCTTCTTTTTTATGAAAATTGTCCATTAAAGTGATAATTTTTTTTCTACCATTGGGTCTAGAATTTGTTTCAATTACCAAAAAAAAAAAGTTTATCATACCGAATATCATTTGTTTGATTTTTTTTTTTTTTTTTTGCCTGAAAATTGTTAATAAAAGTGATAAGTTTTTTTTATCATTGTATCTAGACTTTTATTCCAATTGCCAAAAAAAAAAAAACCTAGAAATTTTTTTTCCACCAAAATATCAAGAATTTATTTTCCTTAAAAATGTGGAAAATGTGAAGGTGGAGAAAAAATTATCGGGAAAATTTTGCCTATCAAACACTACAAAAGTTGTAAAATGAAATTTTTTTCCCTTTTTCATGAAAAATATGACAAATCAAACGAAAGCTTATAGAATACATAAAAGTAGTACACATATAATCTCCTAACATTTTGGGTTTTGTCTCAAACCTTTCATTGTTGTTCTTATTCTCATTATGTCCAAAATAAACGTAAAATTTGTTGATGAACAATTAATGCATAAATTCAAATAAGGAAAATTATGTATATTGAATTGCTTCCCAATAACAAAGTCCCATCAATGGGGAAAATGAAAAAACTGCGCAAATGGATTCGCCATGCAAAGTCAATACAAAATTTAATACGATGAAATAACTTAAGAACTAGCAATCCTTGGACCTAAGAAATAATTAAAAGCACAATAGTGTTTAAAACTGAAATTAACAAACTGGGCATATAGAGTATTAAAAGTTAACAATTTAGAGAGACGGAGAGAGAATCAATATTTGAGAAGTTGATTTTTGCTCAAACTTCATCAAAAAGTCAAATCGCGTCTTTCACCTCGAACATTTGAATAATCAATATCCGCGTCCTATTGACAACAGTGGAAGAAAAATAAATTAATTTTGCATATAAATATCTGAGTTAAATCTAGAAAATAACTTCAATGTACTTTAGTATAGATACTAGGTTAAAGGCATAATTGACTGGCAAATAGAAAACCTTATCAAATTAAAATTGCAATAATAATCACTACACATTGAAAATATAAACTATTAAAAAATCCTTAAGAGTTCCACAACATAATAATAATAATAATAATAATAATAATAATAATAATAATAATAAGTGTTGGGTGCGCGTTCATTGAATTTATGTAGAAATATCTGATTTTAGTGCCAATTTACCAATCAATGACATATTTACAACCTACACAGTAAAGTATTATAATGTATAATAAAAAGAAATAATAAAAACTTAAGTGGTTCATCTCAAATACTTACCAACTATATTTTGGTGGGACTTGCAACTGAGAAGTTCAAAGCTTGTCCATATCCTTGATGTTTTGGTGGGAAAAAAATTTAGAATAAATAGTTGGTTAAGAAAAAATATAATTGAGCGGCAAATAGAACAGCATGTCAAAGTTCTTTAATCTGATTTTCAATTTACCAAATGAAAATAATTATAATAACAAGTAGAAATAGCGATTTTTTTTTTTTTTTTGAAGAAAAGAAATATCATTAACTTCAAGATAGCAAATGACGGATACAAGGAGGAGGATCCTCCAACACTATTCTCTCCTCAAAGAGTTTGAGTGCTTCTTTTGCTAGAGTATGGGCCACAACATTAGTGCACCTAGGTACATGAACAACAGACCAGACATCAAAGAAACCAAGCATGTTCCTAGTGTCTTCTATCAATAAGCCCGGGTAGTTCCTGTAGTTTGATTCACCATTAAGTCCCTTCACAACGTTAAGCGCATCTCCCTCCAATATAATCGACCTCAACTCCAGGTTAATGCCAAGCGATGTAGCTTCCAAAGCTGCAAAAGATTCTGCCAAAAAAGCATCTGGAAAAAGTTTCCTTTGGTACATCATCGCCACAATGAGTTTGCCAGACCAGTCTCTCACCACCGCCCCAATCCCAACTCGCCTATTAGATACGTCCACTGCGGCATCCCAGTTAATTTTATACATATAAGGGGGTGGCACTGACCAAACCTGGGGAGCATTGGTTCCTTTGGAAATACATGGAGCTGGCAGGGAGTTTATTTCCTTATATTCCATTGCGACCTTTCTGGCTGAAAGAGAGATAGCTGATGGATCTTTGAATCTGTTCTCAAAAATAAAGGAGTTGCGCCTCTTCCAGATGAGATAGACTGTGGCCGTAAACAGCTGCATATCCTCCTCATTCAGCTCATTGAACATATAGGTTACAAGTTCCCTTACGTGCAATGGTAGAAAGGACATTTTCTGAAATCGCCGGGTGCTCGAACCCCAGACCTCTTGGGCCGACACACAGGACCACAAAGCATGAAGAACAGACTCCTCTTCGTGTAAACAAATCGGGCAGAGAGGTGACTCCCTAATCTTCCTTCTATGTAGGTTCAGGTTGGTAGGTAGTGAGTCATGAGTTGCTCGCCACAGAAACATTTTGCTAGCATTTGGGACCTTAAGCTTCCAAATCTTCCTCCATACCTCACTCTGAGAACAACCAGTGGAGTACTGGCCCAATGAATCCTGTTTCGCCTGACTGATTGCATGATAGGCACTCTTAACAGTGAATTTCCCATCCTTCGTGCCCCTCCAGATAAGTTTGTCCGGGGAACCACACGGACTGATAGGAATTTGGCTGATGATGTTAGCTTCCGCTTCAAAGAAAACATCCGAGACAAGTGGCATGTTCCAAGATTTTGTATCAGCATTAATAAGCTCACTAACCCAGGCATTCGAGTACTGCTCATGCAGGGGAGGATGGATAATAGAAGTTGGAGCCTGGGGGATCCATTTATCCTTGCCAATAACCACAGATTCCCCATTTCCAATACGCCAGAAGACTCCATCTCTTAAGACATTTTTGGCAGCAGAGAAACTCCTCCAGAGGTAGGAAGCATTACTGCCAATTGTACTATTCAGAAAATCCGTCCTGGAAAAATATTTCGCTTTAAGGACCCTAGCGGCCAAGGATGATGGGTATTGGATAAGTCTCCAGCCTCGTTTAGCAAGTAAGGCAACATTGAAGATCTCAAAATCCCTGTAGCCGAGTCCCCCAGCTGATTTAGATTGCCCCAACAGGTTCCAAGAGAGCCAATGAGTTTTAGATTTCTCGCCGTTACTGCCCCACCAGAAACTCTTGACTTGCCGATTCAAGGTTTGGAGGAAAGTTCTTGGAAGTTTGAAGATACTCATACAATACTTAGGAATAGCTTGGATGATGGCCTTTACGAGCACTTCTTTGCCTACATTAGAGAAAAATTTCGTGGTCCAGCTGCTCATCCTACTTCTGATGGAGTCAAGCACAGTTTGAGAGCAGACAATTTATTTCTCCCAACATATGCCGGTAAACCTAGGTATTTCTCAAAGGACTTAGCTTCGTTGACTTTGGCAGCATGAAGGATTGCAGACTTGATCTCCAGTTTAGTATTTTTGCTAAAATAAATGGAAGTCTTATCCATGTTGAGTCGTTGTCCCGATGCGTTTTCAAATAATGTCAGTAAATAGGAGAGCCGCCACCATTCCAAGACATTTGCTTTGCAGAAAATCAGACTGTTGTCTGCGAAAAAAAGGTGATTGATTAACAAGGTCCCTCGAGCAAAGGGAAAGCCAGAAATATGCCCCTTAATCTCCGCTGTATCCAACAAGGTGCCAAGAACTTCAGAGCAGAGGATGAAGAGGTAAGGGGAAAGGGGATCCCCTTGCCTAAGGCCACGCTGAGGTTGAAATTGGTCTTGTGGCACACCATTGATAATCAGGGAGTAATTCACAGATTTGACACAGTGCATGACCCACTCAACCCACCTCCCACCAAAACCCAGTTTCCTCATAACAGTTTCCAGAAATATCCATTCAATCCGATCGTAAGCCTTGCTCATGTCCAGCTTCAGTGCCATATAACCTTCTTTCTTCCCATTCACACGATATTTCATGGAATGCATTGCTTCGTATGCTACTGTGATATTATCTGAAATTAACCGCCCAGGGACGAACGCACTTTGAGCAGGAGAAATGATATCAGCCAGAAAAGGCTTGAGTCTGTTGGCAAGAACTTTCGACACTACTTTATAGAGGACATTGCACAAGCTGATAGGTCTATACTCTGTGACTGAGGCTGGGTTCTTCTTCTTGGGGATCAGGACAATAAACGTGTCATTAATGTCTTTGAATCCTTGATGAGTTGATAGGAGCCCTTTAACTAGAGCACTCACTCCTTCACCAATGACCTCCCAATTGTCTTGATAAAAACCTGCAGAGAATCCGTCAGGCCCAGGAGAGCCCAAAGGGTCCATTTCGAGTACCGCTTGTTTAATTTCCTCTGTAGTACACACTCTCTGAAGCTGTTCATTCATATCCCAATTAACTTTGACCTCAAGATCCTTGATTGCCTCCTCAATGCCAAGAGGGTTGGAGGATGAGAATAAGTGACTATAGTACTGTTGGAAGGTATTACTGATCTCTGTTGGATTATAAGTCACCCCGCCTCGTTCTGTCTGGATAGACCTGATGGTGTTCTCTTTCCGCCGTTGGGATGCACACTGATGAAAAAAGGAGGTGTTTTTGTCCCCACTTTTCAGCCACAACTGTTTAGATCGTTGCCGCCATTTAATTTCCTCGTCTTCCAGCAAATTGTCAATTTTCTTTTGGGTGTCTCTAATTTTATCATTCAGTTCCCCTTTGTTGATTTTCTGTAGCAATTGCAACTTCTGCGAATAAGATTTAAGTTTCATCCTCTGAGAACCTGCAAAACTCTTAGCCCAAGCCTGGAGGTTCACTCTGCATCGAGCCAGACCTTCTTGAAACCACCGAAGAGGACTTCGTTGATCGCAAGGGGTTGCCCAAGCATTCCCAACAATGTCAATGCACTCCTGCTTTCCGGACCAGGCTGCTTCATAACGGAACACTGTCGTACGGCGGGAAGTCCCTATAATGTGATCGTTGTTGCAACTAATTAGAAGTGGGTTGTGGTCCGAAGTAACCACCGGGAGAACCTGCACAACACAGTTGCTGAATATGTTGTAAAGAGAAGGGTTCACAAGTGCTCTGTCTAACCTTGCCTTTGTGAACTGATTTCCCTCCCTCTTATTGCTCCAGGTAAATTTGGGTCCAACATAACCCCCATCAGAGAGCTCACATTCATCAATAACCTTGCAGAAACTGTTCATTTGAGAGAAAGGTCTCACGGCTGCCCCGAACTTCTCACTCGGCTTGGTGATTTCATTGAAGTCACCCATTACCAACCATGGGATCTGCCTACCAGGATTCAATCGACCCAGAAGCCGCCAACTCTCCTTCGTTCTACCAGTGACAGGGGATCCATAGAAACCAGTGAGGACCAAAGGAGAATCAGAAAAGTGGTTCTTAATGTGCAGAGAAATATGGCTACTGGAAAAATTAACAATAGACGCATTCAACTCTTCCTTCCACATAACCGCCAAGCCCCCTCCTGCCTACACAATCGACCGCCAGGCAACAATCAAACCGGAATTTCAACCTTAATTTCTCCATCTGCAGCTGTAGCAACTTGGTCTCCGACAAGAAAACCAAGCTAGGATGCTTGACCTTCACCAAATGGTGAAGTTCCCTAACGGACCGAGGGTTTCCAAGACCTCGGCAGTTCCAAGAGAGAAACTTCATGGTGGTATTGGCACACCCACCACCACAACAGACAAAAACGAAGAGAAAACACCTGGATCTCTAGGAGAGACCAAGGAGGGAGAAGCTTACCTCTATGGGCAGAGGAAGGAAGGAAACCCCCAACGCAGAGGCGTGAGGAGAAAGCCCCTACTCGAGAGAGGAGAGAAAACCCCACCTCGAGAGAACTCCAGGAAGGACTTTGAATTGAATTGAAATAGCGATTTGTTGGGTGCGAAATACACAGACAATTTACTAATTAATAACACTGCTTAGTCATATTTAATTTATATTTACAGCATACATAGTAAATTATTTTAATGTATAATAAAAAGAAATAATGAAAACTTAAAGTGGTTCATCTCAAATACTTACCCCAACGATATTACCATACGTGGCCTCTTTAACCACGTTTGCCCCTTTGCACGTATATGAGGAATATGTGAAATCTTTGACCACTCAAAATCAGGGCCTCTTTCTTCCAACAATGGGCTGTGGGTAACCTCTAAATATTTTAGCTTGGTGAGGCGTTGCATCGCTTCCTTAGAGGGCATATGCTTGAGCTTTTTTAATTTACACAGGATTAATACAAAAAGAGAGGTCAGACCCCCAAACCACTCTGGCAATGCTTCAATTCCAAAACCCTCTGATTTTAAGTGTCGGAGCGAAGTGAGATTCTGAAGTTGATATGGTAATGAGTCCCAATGTTCCCAACCATATAAACTCAATTCCCTGAGAGATTTGGATTGTTGGATGCAGTCGAGAGCAGCTTGGAATGAGTTGAAATCAATTGATTCTGAGAATCCACCAATGTCCAATTCTGTTAAGTTGCTAAAACGGCCTATTCCCTTGGGCAAACTCCTCAATTCAGGACAACTGTTTATGAATAAGACCGAAATACAAGGCAATTCCCCCAAATCTATTGGAAAAGAAATGAGTTTCTCGCATCCAGTCACGCTTAGAAGCTCTAGACACCTGGTGGACTCAATCATTTCACTTGGTAGGCAGCTCAGCTCAGAGCAATCCGTAATAGTCAAACGTCGAAGAGAAAGAGGGGGACATTTTTGTCCACTTTGATGTGAAATTGATTGCAGACTTCGACATCCCATTATCTCCAAAGACTCAAGAGACGAGAAGGTGTGTAGATCATCGGCTAATTTTCTCAATTTGTCACAATCTTCAATATTCAACTCTCGAAAATATTCGTGGCATCCTTTCAAGTGGGGAAGACAAGTGAGCGTTGATATATTCCCGTTCGAGAGCTTTTCCAAAGAAGTTAGGTTGCTGCTACTCAAAATCTTTGTCAATGGAAAATCACTATCCATGCTATAAATTTCAATTCTTTCAAGCAAGGGAAATGACTTGGAGAAGTATTCAATTTGTCGCAATTTTTAATCTCCAAAACATCAAGGCAAGGAAATACTTGCTCTCTACGTGTTTGTGTTTCCGCCACTGGCATCACCTCAGCTTCCGCCCACTCTGTTAGGTTTGGCATGTTCTCTAGAATGAGTCTTTTAAGTGTTGGGAACATTACTCTTGTCTCTTGGCCACCATAGAATGAAGGACCTATGGATCTTACGCTAGTCAAACTGGATAAGGTAAGGTATTTGAGGAGTGGCAGGTGGCCAAATATGGGAATTTCTTCACAATTTTTGCAATTTTTGAACTTGACCTCTATCAATTTATCAAGTTTCAACCAACCACTTGCATCAAGATATCTCAAATGTATCAACTTTCCAATTGCGGATGGGAGAACTTCGATGTCTGCATCACATAACTTTAGAATGTGTAGGTACTTGAACCATGGTAAAATTTTGTCAGGTAAGGGGCTCCGCAAGAACAACGTGCGCAGATAACTTGCTTTCTCTTCTGTAATCGCTTGTGTTTCCTTTCCAAGTGATTTCAGTGCAAGGTATCTAACTTTGGGAATGTCATCAGTAGAGCGATCTTTCGCATTAAAGCTTTCTGAATTTGAAACCGAGCATGCGAGATCACGCACAAGATCATGCATCTTGCAGCATAAGATATTGCCATAAAAATCCTTTACGGCCTCTTGCAGGAAGGAATTTTGCAACAGAATGTTGAAACATGTATTGCCTATAGTCTCCATATTATTTTCTCGATTATCCGGAAGAAATCCTTCCGCCATCCAGAGTTGGATTAAATCTTCTCTCCGTATTCTTGAATCCTCGGCGAATATTGAACAATAGGCAAAACATTTTTTAAGTAACGGAGAAGATAAACGATCAAAGCTTACCTTTAAGACTTGCATCATACTGTCCTGATTTGCTTCAAGTTTTGAAAGCCCGATCTCTAGAACTGAAATCCACTCATCTACTTCCTTTCCTTGCAAAGTTCCGCCGACCATGTTTGCTGCTAATGGTAGACCTCTACATTTGCAAGCAATCTCATATCCACCTTTCTCAAATCGTTCTGGTACTTCTGCATCTCCAAAGGTCCTTGCTTTGATTATAGACCAGCACTGATCATCTTTTAATGATTCCAAGCTGTATGCATCTCTGTAAGTTTTTGCAATTGATGCCACACTTTGAAGGCGCGTAGTCACCATGATGACATTTCGTTTATTGGAGTTAACTCCAGCCATAGTATTTTTAAAATCATCCCAGGCTTGTCTATTTTCATTCCAAAAATCATCAAGAACAAGCAAGTATTTTTTGCCTTCTAATTTCTTTCCAAGCTTTTTCACTATAGCTTCCCTGTTGTCTACATCAGAAGTGTCTTCCAAGCATTCCAGAATCCTTTTAAAAATTGTCGTCACATCAAAATTTTTTGAGATGCATACCCAAATCCTTTCATCAAAAAAACTCTGTGTGCACGGATGATTGAAGACGGACCGAGATAAAGTTGTTTTGCCTAGCCCTCCCATTCCAACTATGGGAAGGACTGAAATAACTGAGTCGTTTGTGTTGGTTATCAACTTCAATATTTCAAATTCATCATCTTGTCTCCCAACGAAAATTGGATCGACAGTTATGCTGTCAGTTTCCATGACCGGAGGCAAAGAGTTAGCAAAGTCAGAAACTCTCCAGAGGCCAAGGTCATTAGCTCGTTTGTTTATATCCTGGAAGTTAACATTTATCTCCTTGATTTTGTGAGCCATTTTCCATCGGAATGCCAAAGGCCTATAGAAAGAGAAGTATGAGCACACTTTTGGCATCTTCTGGTTCCAGATCTGTCGACTCAAGTTTTCATAGTTGATCACATCCAAGACGTTATCAACATCATATGTAACATCTTGGAGTTTCTTGAGCCAAAGTTGCACAGCCTTATCAATGACTGGGCGTGTATCTGCATCTTCCAACACTTGCTTGATCATTTCCAACGAATCACTTAGCTTTGTCAAGTCTTTTGAGAAATCTACAGAGTGGAATTAATTTGGGAAGAGTGATTCCCGTTTTATTTCACTTA